TTTTGTGCCTGTGTTCTTTCTTACCTTTTTATTTCTTCTTTCTTTTTTTTTTTTTTTTTTTTTTACACCAGTCCCTTTAGCATTTCTTGCATTGCTGGCTTGGTAGTGATAAACTCCCTTAGCCTTTTTTTTTTTTTTTTTGACTGTGAAACTCCTTATTTCCTCTTCAATTTTGAATGATAGCCTTGCTGGGTAGAGTATTCTTGGATTCAGTCCCCTGTTTTGCATCACGTTGTAAATTTTCTTCCATTCTTTTCTGGCCTGATGTGTTTCTGTTGAGAAATTATTTGATAATATGACAGATCCCTTCTACGTAACTTCCTGTCTCTCTATTGCAGCCTTTAAGATTCTTTCTTTGTCTTGAACATTTGCCATCATAATTATGTTGTGTCTTGGTGTGGGTATTTTCAGGTTCATCTTGTTTGGGACTCTCTGTGCCATGGTGGTTCGATAAATTGAAGGAAAGAAGTGTTTATAGATTAGACATGTGCAATATATAAGAAAAGTTTTAACAGAATTATTCCTTTCAAGGGCACAGGCCTGGGTTGTGTTAAAAAAAACAGCAAAGTAAAGTCCCCCAAAGATAAAAAAAGCAAGCAAAGAACATCAGTAACCAAGTTACATTACAGACAGACAAGAACTTCCACTAGATAATGACTTTCACTAGTTAATGGCTGATGACTTGAGAGGGAGAGCAGGAAAGCGGTCCCCAAGGTAAGAATTCTTGGCAGCTGCTGGGAAGTTCCTGCAATCCCTGCCACATGTTCAGCCTACCACAGGTAGCTGGGGCCTCTAGCAAAGTGAAATACGCCCTATCCTTAAACAAATCAAACCAAACAACAAAGACAAGAAACAACAATCAACAGAGACACTCTATGGACAATTTTTACAGGCGCACATAACCCACAGACAAGACTTAATGAACCAGAGTCCTTTTCATGGAACTTTCCGATGTGTTACAGTGCCCGGGGCTTACAGCCGGAATGTGGCCCAGAGGACTCCCAGGTGGGGTTGCCAGTAAACACCCACAAACAGCCTTTTGTTCACAGATCTCATCATATTCTGCTCTCAGAATTATATATTGACTGGAGTCCAGTGTTCTTTTGCCCCAAATCTGCCAGTCCCAAGGCATCTTATGGTAATTTTCAGACAAGGCATGAAGGAGATCTTTTGTAAATGGCCCATTTTCTCTCATACTTTTCCTTATTCCATTAAAGGTATTAAAGGAGAGTGGTTCATGTATCCAATTACCTTGCATCTTGCATAAATGGGCAAGTCAAAACCTCTCCTAACATAGCTTGCCTGACACATGATCCCATAACTGAGGATTTGGTTGATGAGCCTTCCCACACTGGAGGCAGAGGATCAGGGGCCTTCAGTGTTACCAGCTTTACAGGCTCTACTTCAGGAGGAGGGGGTGGTGATAAATCCTCCTGGTGTTCTGTAGGCTTTTTATCCTCAATATGAAGTGGGCACAGTGCAGCTTGAAGAAGCACCCACATAATTAAAGATGAGAAAGGCACTCGTTTTCCCTGGGCCTGATTTCTCTTTAAATTTCTACCTACTTATTCCTACAGAAGAGGTCTAATGTTCCAGCATCAGGGATCCAAGGGTTATCCTATCTAATAAAGAGGGAATATGCTAATTGACCATCACAAGCTGGCAGTGCCCACAGCCAATAAGGACAGAATATGGTAATTAATTGTCGCACCCTCAAAGATGGCGGCACCCACAGCCACAAGATGGCGGCGCCAAGTCCCCTCAACCCCCTGGAGGGGCAGTCACAGGGAATGGCTGGTACCACCCCCAGGCGGGTCTGGCCGCTTCGTGCACTTGCCTCCAGAGTCCCCCAGTCCCCTCAGCACCCCAGCCACCCTGGGCTGGCCCGAGGCGCGGGCAAGTGTGGGATGGTGGCTTCCCAGCAGCCCAGGGCCACCAGAGGCTCAGGTAACCAGGGCCGGCCAAGCCTTGCGCTGCCAGAAGTGGAAGCAGCAGAGGTCTGATGGGGGCATTGCCTTCCCTGATCACCAGGTTGCTTCCTGCCCCTGAGGGCTCCCAGACTGTGATAAGAGACAGGCCGGGCTGAGGGTCCCCATTCCAGTGCATGAATTTTCATGCACTGGGCCTCTAGTAAGTTATAATAGTCTGCAAAAGGCCCCTTTAATTGTTTCCTTATAACCAAGGCACCATTTGCTTTTCACAACTTTTTAAACACCGTTATATATTGTTGCCATCTGTGGTACAACCAGCGGGGCCATCAGGGGTCCTGCTCCCACCTGCATTGGCCTAGTGCCATCTGCTCGCGGACACCACCCCCACCTTTACTGCCCGTCCCCATCTATGGGGCGACCTGCAGGGATTTCAGGACTCCCGCTTGCATCCACCTTGGCCTGGCACTGCCCGGTCACCTACTGCACCATCCTGTAGCAGTCCCACTCTCATCGGGGCCATTGGGCCAGCATTGCCTCCACTGCCGCCTGCTGCTACTGCCACGTCGCCTACACCCGCCTTCTTTTGTGCCAACCCCTGGTGGTCAGCTCAAGTCATAGCAAGCTGTGGAACTCCCGGTTGGTCAAACTCCCGGGACAATTTCCATATTAGCCTGTTATAATACAGGATACTATCTTTAGTTTAATGTGTATTCTTGCCTCCTTTGTCAAGTATTCCATGACCATAAAGGCATGGGTTTATATCTGGGTTCTCTGTTCTGTTCCACTGATTTATATGCTGTTTTTAGGCCAGGACCATGCTGTTTTGATTACTATAGCCTTGTAGTACGGTTGGATATTAGGTAGTGTGATTCATCCACATTTGTTCTTTTTTCTCAAGATTGCTGTTGCTATTATAGGTGTTTTGTGGTCTATATAAAACTTTTGAATATTTGTTCTAGTTATGTGAGATCTATCCTGGGTTTATTGATAGGAATTGCATTGAAGCTGTAGATTGCTTTGGGTAGTATGGACATTTTAATTATATTAATTTTTCCTCTCCATAAACCCATATATGCTTCCATTTATATTTTACAATCCAATTGATTTTACCATTTAATTTTCTTTTGTATAAGTTTCAGGTGAAATTAATTTCAACATGAAAATATTGCAGATTTCAATTAAGGCCCTTGTACATGCCAAGTCTTAAATTGTTCCTCAAGGTCCAGGCCCCGGTTATAGTGTCACAATTCTGCTAGAAAGACTTCTTTTGAGTGTGATCTTATCATTTCAATATACGTGTCTATGTGTCCTAAAAATCAGTATGAAGTAACCCTGAGGCTCATGAGTAGAGGACTTTTGTAGA